TTGATAATTTAATATTTTCAAACAAATAGAATTAAAATTCCTCAACATTCCTTTCCCCCATCACTCAATTCTTTTTAGTTTTCGTTTTTTTTTTTTTTTTTTTGTTTGTGCTTTGGTTGCGCCGGCATAAGCACGTACACACTCATACACACGCAGACACACACACACACCTGTTAGTTAGCTTTTTATTGTTATATGCGTCGTATCGATAGTTCGTGCAACGCTATCGAAATATCTAATATCAGTAAAACTATCGAGCAGTTGAAATAAGCTAAAAATTGCAACAGAACAAAGCAAAGCAAACATATTGGCGCATACTTGTATTCATTTTATAATTATTATTATTAATTAATAATAGCAAATCATTTGTGAAACAGTATAAAAACCTGGCAACTGCTCCGTAAGGCAGTGAAGTGAGCCTTAAAAAAAGCTAGATCTGTCGTGAATACAGCTAAACTGGCAATGCCAACGCGATTGACGTCTTTTAAAGTAGAATAAAATTACAAATACGGGTATTCCCTTTGGCAGTAAATATGTGAACTCTTACATTCATAGGAATATCCCTAACAGTAACTAATAGTTTGCCTTTGTTAATGTACTTACATACACACACGAACATGAGCAGCAGTTATTTATGTGCATTTGTCTCTCTCTAACCCATGCAGCGACCGGAACAGCAACAACTGCTGCCGCTACAGCAACAAACACAGGCGCATCAACGAAGAAGGAGAAACACCAACAACGCAAACAGGTGGATAAAGGCGACGAGAAGCGCGGCAAACGCAAAAAGGACGAAATAACCGTTGAGAAAATTGATACAGGCGATTTTGTAGTCGGGATCGGCGACAAATTGAAGGTCAATTATCACGAAAAGAAATCACCCAGCTCCCATGGCAGCACCTACGAAGCGAAGGTCATCGAGATCAGTGTGCAGCGCGGCGTGCCCATGTACCTGGTGCACTACACCGGCTGGAATAATCGCTACGATGAGTGGGTGCCGCGCGAGCGCATTGCCGAGAATCTAACCAAGGGTTCGAAACAGAAGACTCGCACCATCAGCACCAGCAGTGCCAATAGCGGCGGTGCACCCGCCCAAGCATCCAACACAGCTGGCAACAGCAGCAACAATAATAACGGCAATAGCAGCAACAGTGGCCCCAACGCATCTTTGCCACCAAAAGATGGTTCTGGCAAAGCGGAGCAACAGCAACCACCACCTGGACCGGGCACGGGCCCGAGTGCCTCGCTGCTCCAGGGCTTGACCAAGACACCAACGTCGTCGGCAGCACTCACCACCCAGCCGGGCGGCAAACGTGGACGCGGACGTAGCGACTCAATGCCGCCGCGCTCCACAACACCCTCGTCGGTGGCCTCGAACTCGAGTCGCACCAAGTCGCCGGCTGCCTCGCAGTCGCTGGCGCAGCTGAAGCACAAGCGACCCACACGCACGCTGCCCATGAGCAGCAGCAGCAGCAGCAACAATCAGGGCCGGCGCACCTCTGCCTCGGCATCCATCTCGGCCAATGTCTCGGATGCCTCCATGGGCAGCGACAGTGACACGGATTCCGATGAGCCAGTGCGTCGTCCCAAGCGGCTCAATGCCAAGGACGCCCAGCAGCAACAGCAGCAGAGCAAGGCCAAGGCAGCTGCGGCCAGTGGCAAAAAGGTAGCGCCCATACGACGCACCACCGGCAGCGATGACAGCGACGACGACGATGACGAGGAGCAACAACAGCAGCAGCAGCAGCAGCAGCCAACGCCATCGTCATCCGGCAAACAGCAGTCGCAGACGGCACAGCAGCAACAGCAACAACAACAACAACAACAGGCAACAGCCATTCAGCGTCCGCGCGCTGGCAATCGTGCCATGAGCAGCGGTGGAGCAGGCAAGGGGCGTGACTATGATCTCAGCGAGATACGATCGGAGCTGAAGGGCTTTCAGCCGCAGCTGCTGGAGCGCAAAGAAACCATCAAGACCGAGCCGAGCGATGTGCAGGCCAAGCAGGAGCCCAAGACGGGCAGCTCCACGGAGCAGTCATCCGAGACGGATTCCTACATGGACGAGGACTCGCAGTCCTCTGAGAAGTTGCCCTATCGCAAGCAGCAGCAGCAGCAGCAGACGACGACAACTGGCGATAAGCGCAAAGGTGCTGCAGCAACAGCAGCTCCGAGCGGCTCCACTGCAGATCAGCAGCATGCTGCCGAAACGCCCATCAAGAAGGAGTCGGAGAAGCTGCACATCAAGCATGAGACGCTCACTGGTGAGGATCGCAAGCCATTCAAAACGGAGCCCAAGGAGGAACAGGCAAAGCCATTCCATAGTGGCGCCGATATCAAGCCAACGACAACAACATCAATAATAGCTCCAGCACGCTTTGGCGCCAACAGCAGCAGCGGCGGCAGTGGCAGTGGCGGAACAGCCAAGTGCACCTCGGTCATTGTGGAGAAGCCGCTGACCATGATCAAGAAGACGGAGAAAACTGAAGCGACAACAGCGTCAACAGCAGCTGCAGCAGCAGGAGGAGCAGGAGCAGGAGCAGGAACAGGAGCAACAACCTCGACTGGGCCCAAGTTAGAGCTGCTGAAGAAACTGCAGTCGGGTGGCTCCATGGGCTTGGAGCGTGGCAAAAAGTTTGCCGAGCCGGTGCAGCACAAGGAGACGGCCACATTGAAGGTGGAACTGCCGGCTGCCTGTTCGCCATCCTCATCCAGTTCATCCTCCAGCTCGTTCTGCTCGAGCAGCAACAATTCGGCCGCCACGTCCGCCAGCCTGAGCAGCTCCTCGGCGACGCGCTCCTTGCCGGACATGAGCAAGCTGGAGATAAGCAGCGGCACCACCACCACCACCACAACAACAGCGGCTGCAGCAGCCACAGCCACAGCTGGCACGGGCAAGGAGTCCAAATACAGCAACGTCGGTGGTGCTGGTAGTAGTGGTGCAGCTGGTGGTGCTGGTGGTGCTGCTGCTGCGGCTGGCGGTGCTGCCGGCATCAACAATAGCAACCTGACCAGCGGCATCAAGCGACTCTCCTCGGACGTGTACGAGTTCAAGGACACCGAACCCTTCGAGTTCGAGAAGCGCATCTCGCCCATGGCCTGTGGCACCTCGGTCATTGCCAGCAGCAGCAGCGGCAGCGGCAGCACGCCACCGGCACCGGCGCCGGTGATTGTCAGCGCCGCGTCACGAAAGCAGGCGCTCAAGGCGGTCCCTGTGCCGCGGAGCATCGAGCATAAGCTGCTGCTTGCGGCCCACGAGCTAGTGACGCGTGGCTATGCCGCAAATACAGCAGCAGCTGGTGGAGCAACAGCGGCAGGAGCAGCGGCTGCGACCAGCACGCCGAGCAAGGCCAAGAAACGCGGTTCGCCGCTCAAGGAGGCCAGCCTGACGGGCGCGGAGAAGCCCAAGCTAATCAAAGTGGATCAGCAGCAGCAGCAGCAGCAGCAGCAACAGGCGGCCGCAGCTGCGCAATCCTCGCCAGCAGCAAGTCCCAACAGTGCCAAGTCGTCCGGGGCGTCTGCGTCTGGAGCTGGCAGCAAGGCACAGGCAGGCAATGCTGCAGCCGGAACAGTTGCTGCCGGCGCCCAGCTAACGCCTGGGCATCCGCATGCCACGCCCTTCGATGTGCTGCGCAGATCGCCCATCTTCAATTTGAATATCACGGCCCTCAACGAGGAGCTCGCCCAGACGGTGCAGGAGACAACAAGGGCGCTCACTGATGCACTGCAGCCGCCCACAACGCCAGCAACGCCGCCAGCAGCAGCAACCGGAGCACCTGCAGCTGGATCAGGGGCAGGTGCAGGATCAGTTTCTGCTGCCTTCACGCCAGTCATTGCTGTGCCCGTCTCGCCCAAGCTGAGCACTCCGCCCCAAGCGATGGGCGTGGCGAAGGCAACACAACAACAGCAACAGATTGTGGGCAGTCCCTTCATGGAGACGCGCAACGTCTTCGAGCTGAGCACCTCGAACGAGGGCAGCGGCTACAGCTCCGGCGAATCGAACAAGGACAACAAACTGGAGAAGCTGGAGAATGTGAAGATCCTGCTGGCGGGCACTGGGGCTGGTTCATTCGATCTGGATGCGGTCAAGTACGAGCAGAAGCCCACCTCCATTGCCGACAAGGTGCTCAAGGCCATCAGCCAAAAGAAGGAGGAGGTGGAGCAGAGCAAAACCAAGAGCCAAACGGAAAGCAGCACGGACAAAGACGAACAGCAGCAACAGCAACCACAACCGCAATCGCAACCACAACCACAACCGCATCCGAGCAGCCTCAAAGTGGAGCCGAACAGCATCAGCTCGACCCTGAAGGTGGACACATTGAGTCTGCTCAGTGAGCAGCTCAAGGTGCAGACCGGCAGTGGGCTGCCCTCGGTGCTGAGCGAGCTGTACCATCGGACGAGCAGCAGCAACAGTCCCGAAACGAAATCCATTCTGGATGCATCGCTGCCGGCGAAGAATAATGAGCTGAGCGAGACCATACAGAAGCTCGAGTGCGCCATACAGCGCAAGACGCCAGTGGCTGGCCAGTCGTTGGGCTCATCTCTGGCTGGAACACCGCCGGTGACAGCAACAGTGGGCACTGCCAGCTTCTCGGATGAGTCAATGGATAGCACCGATTCCGAGCAGCGTCTGGTCATTGAGGACGTCATTGCCGAGGAGCCGAATACGGCTACCGAACTGAAGAGTCCCATGTCCGAGGGAGTCGGCGGTCTAATGGGCAGTGCGCCGGTCAAGCTGGAGCTGGCTGCCGCGGGTAGCAAACAGCTGACGGGCGTCCAGGCGCCCATTGCATTGAAGCCCGTGTTCATGATGGGTGTGCCGATGTCCATGAATGTCTTCCTCAACAAGGAGCAGTCCACAGCACCGACAACGTCACCAACGCCAACTGGAACCACTGCAACAGCAGGAGCAGGAGCTGGAGCAGCAGGAGCAACTGGAGCGGCTGCAACGCATACAGCACAACCATCTGGGCTGTCTGCGCCTGGAGTGCCAATTGTGGTGCCCGAGATCCCAGTCTCTGTGGTGGTTGCACTGCGTCACAGTCCGGGCAGCGTCAGTCCCGCCTCACCCAAGCCAGAACCGAAGCAGACGCCCAAGCAATTGCTGCCCGCCGCCGACGAGGGCGGTTTACTGCTGAAACCGTACACGGCCCAGGCGAGTCCGCCATTGCCGGATGCTCAGGCTCAGGCACAGGCACAGACTCAGGCACAGGCTCAGGCACAATCTCACTCACAGGCACAATCATTGGCCGTGGAGGCCAAGGCGTCGCCATCGCCGCTGCCACGCCCATTCGCACTATACCAACAGGCCAAGGAGCTGCCCATGCACGTCTCGCCCGCAGCGGGCAGTCCGCTGATCAGCGAGGCCTCCCACACGGAGGCAGCCATCAATCTGCTCTGCGAGGAGACCATACCGGGCAGTCCGGCACCCAACTACAGCAGCAAGGACGAGCCGACGGGCAACACGCTTGGCCTGGCACTCGGCACTGGTGGCGCCGCCGTGACAAGCTCATCTGCCGGGCCCATACCTGGCATCGCATCCATGCCGTCGGACACACCGTCGCCGCGGGCCAACCAAGCGCCGTTGGCTGGACAATCGGCGCCGGCTGCCTCGGTGTCGCCGAACAGCTCGCCGGAGTCGCCGGCCAGCCAGGACGACAGCAGCGAGGAGACCGGCAGCAGCAAGAAGCATACGGAGCTGGAGAGCAACAGCGCGCTCAGCGGTCGACGGAAGCGGCGCGCCAAGGCGAACGAATCAAATGTCCAATCCGCTGTCTGTCACTTCCTGGGCAAGCGACGCAGGCAGCAGATCAACAACATGCGCAAGACAGCTGCAACGACAGGCAAGTATCTCGGAGTAGTGTGGAGCAGTAACAAGAACAGTGTTGCAAAACGGCTAAAGAGTGTTGAGGCTCATGCTCCGCAAGATACAAGCAGAATCTCATTTATGATCCGTTTATAGTAGAATCTATTTATGTAGTATTGACAACACTCATGCTAGGTAAATAAAAGAGTTCCGAGCCATATTATCCATGGCAAAAATAGTATTGGACAAGAAAAAGTATTGGAGATTAAATGGGAATCAATTTGTATGCTAAATAGAAAGTAGAATCTCTATGAAATACGAGTTTAGAGTATTTATGTAGGTTACTACATTACGTTAACTTGCTCCATTACGAAAACAGTGCTGAAAAACGGCTCAAGTGCATTGAGATTCATGAGACAGTAGAATAAAGGGGGAATATGCTTTGACAAATTTTTCATTGCAATCTAGATGAAATAGGAAATTTGATAGACTTTCCTTAACCTTTCACCAAGGCGAAAATATTGTTGACAGAAAATATTTTAAGAATATTTTACGGGTTGAAAACTTTGCAGTAAAATGACAATTTTGTTTAAAACTTTTCTTGGTAAATAGTGAAGAAAACGAAAATAGAAAATTAGCTTGGGAGCAACAGATCCATTGAAATCCAAGCACAGTGGTTGAAGAAAGAGAGAACTCTTTGCTTCTCTCTCTCTTCCTGCAGTGTTCTTCCCAAGGAAATCAGCTCAAATACTTGTAATCTATATTAATAAACATACTTTCAACTCTAGCTGGCTCCGATACGGATGATACGTCCGAGAATGTAGTCACCACACAGCGTCATAGTGCACGCCATCAACTGTTGCCGCAGGGACAACAGCAACAGCTGCAGCAGCAGCATCAACAGGAGCACCATCAACAGCAGCAACAACAACAACAGCAGCAGCAGCAGCAGCAACAACTGCCGCAACAGCAACAACAACAGCAGCAGCCGGCACAAACAATAACCAATGCATCGGGCGTCAGACCATGTCCCTACAACTTCCTGGTGGAATTGGGTAAGCTATTAAGGAGTTGTGAATGCAATTGAGAAATTGAAATGGAACTTAATCTATGAATCCTCTGCAGATCCCTCACTCAGCGCCGAGCAGTGCATATTGATACTGCGCAAGCAGATTCAGGATCTGCGCAAGGCCTACAATAGCATCAAGGGCGAGCTGGCCATCATTGATCGGCGGCGCAAGAAGCTGCGTCGTCGCGAGCGCGAGAAGAAGCAGCAGCAGCAGCTGCAGAGCCAGCAGCAGAGCAAAATCTGTGCATAATAAGAAACGTAAATGCAATACACATACATATACATAGAGATGCATATGTATATACAATATATAGACACACACATACACATATATAAATCCAAAACAATTGTATATTTGTAACGATTTAGGTCCGTTCCGTTCTGCTTTTGAATTTCGCTCGCTCAGTTATTAGAACTATTTTACTATATAAAACAATTACATATATAAATATATTTTTTTTGTGAACTGTCATTGAAATACAGTTATACAGCATTTGAATGGCTACAATCGGTATCGCAGACCATTGTAATTAAAATAAAACAAATATACATACATAACATAATCATGAATTATAAAACGAAACTGAAAAATGTAGTAATAAATGCTTTTATTGATTGAAATATTGATAGTGTATCTCTGTGCATGTGAGTATCCATAAGTGTGTGTGTGTGTGCGTGTTTAGGAGACGGAGTAGCCGCCCTCCAGGTTAATGTGGTGGCCATTCACGAAGCTGGACTTGCTGCTCAGCAGATAGCCAATGGCATCGACCACCTCCTGCACCTCACAGAAGCGATGCAGCGGTATATGGGCCAGCAGTGGCCCACTCTTGGCCGGATCGGACCAATTGTCACGGCCCATTTTGGTCAGCACCACGGTGGGATTAACCGAATTGACTCTTATCTGACGTTCGCCTAGCTCCAGGGCCAAAGATTTGGTCAGCGAGTCCAGTGCCGCTTTGGTCGCACTGTAGGCGGTGTGGCCGGCAAAACTGCGGGATGCCGCAATCGAGGAGACGTTGACGATGGAGCTGCCATTGCGTAGCTTGGGCAGCAGCGCCTGGGTCACATTGAAGACGGCCTTGATGTTTACATCGAATTGCCTGCAGAATGGACAGCATATGAAATATGATCACCGGGAAATGAAATTCCAACAACTTACGTATCGAAATCCTGTTCGGTCAGCTCGGCGAAGGGTTTGATAATGGCCACGCCCGCATTGTTAACCAGGCCGTCGAGCGGCGGCACAGCGGACAAGTCCTCACGCACCTTGTTCCAGTCACGCAAGTCGAGCAACAGTGGCTTAATGTGCTGCTCATCGACGGCCACCAAATCCCTCAGCTGCGCCTCACTGCGCGCCACCGCAATGACCGTGGCGCCCGCAGCGGCCAGCTGCTTGACCAGAGCATTACCAATGCCAGCCCCGGCGCCGGTCACCAGGATCACCTTGTTCTTTAAATCACTCCACATTGCTTATATGTATAGGTATTTCAGTGCGTGTGGAAAATTTTGATCTGCTTCGCCGCTCGTTAGCTTTCTTAGACTGCTCAAAGTTTGCTAATCTGATTTGTTTACATATGTATTATCGTTCTAATCCGCAAGAAGCTTTCAAAGCACTTGATAACTGCTATGCCGCTCTCTCTCTTCCACACACACACTCTCCGCCTCACAGGCACGCTCTCATACTCTCACTTATAGAACTCCCTTGGTACATGCCGATCAGTAGGGCATTCAATGTCAAGCCAATAAATAGTTTGCTCTCATTATGCTGGCTGAGCATTTGATGAGTTGCTTGCTTGTTTAATAAAAGCTTTCCAGAACATCATTTCATATTTGAATATATCCATAATGTAACTGAAGCTATATCGATTAAAAGTTTAAGCATAGTTTCTTTTACTTAAATTCTATTCAGTTGTACTTCTCTCATCCAGCTTGAAATTTGCTACATTTCTTTTCATAATTTATAACCATATTCACTTTATTGTTTGCAGCTCGAGCCGAGCTGCTGAGCTGCTGAGCTGCTTAGCTCCAGTTCCATGAATTTTGCTGGGTCCTCAAAGTATGCTGCGTAAGTCTTGCACATTTAAAATGAAAATATCGATAGGCTAGCAAGACACTGAACTATCGTCGCATATTGATATTGTCACATCTCTAGCCGATAGAAGCGCCGGCAAAAATACAATTGATGGACATTTACAGTTATAGTCAAAACGTAAACAATAGCTAGGAAGAATTTAAGCACAATGGAAATGGAGCAAACACAACCTGCAGGTAGGTCATACAACCCAATATATATGCAGTACGCTAAAATTAACCTACTATTTCATACACAAACAGCAAAGCGCGCCAAACTGGAGACGAAGCACAAGCCCCTATTGGAAGAGGATGGTAAGCTTAGCATATTAAATAAGTCAAATCGGATTATGTCTTGAATGTTAATATATATATATATATATATATATATAACATATAACTGTTCCAGAGACGCCATCGGTATTCAATCCCAAGTATCGCGTCTGCCCCTATTTGGACACGATCAATCGCAATCTGCTGGACTTCGACTTCGAGAAACTCTGCTCCATATCGCTGACGCGCATAAACGTTTACGCCTGCCTCGTGTGCGGCAAGTATTTCCAGGGGCGTGGCACCAATACACACGCCTACACACATTCGGTGGGCGAGGCGCATCATGTGTTCCTCAATCTGCATACGCTGCGCTTCTACTGCCTGCCGGACAACTACGAGATCATCGACTCCTCGCTGGACGACATCAAATATGTGCTGAATCCGACATTTCAGCGCAGCGAGATCAGCAAACTGGACCAGCTGCAGCCGAAGCATTCGCGAACCGTTGACGGCGTCCTCTATCTGCCCGGCGTGGTGGGCCTGAACAACATCAAGGCGAACGACTACTGCAATGTGGTGCTCCATGCCCTGTCCCATGTCAGCCCCTTGCGGGATTATTTTCTGCGCGAGCAAAACTACGCAAAGATCAAACGGCCGCCGGGCGACTCCATGTTTACGCTGGTTCAGCGCTTTGGCGAACTGATGCGTAAAATGTGGAATCCGCGCAACTTCAAGGCGCACGTGTCACCGCACGAGATGTTGCAGGCGGTGGTGCTGTGGTCCAACAAACGTTTCCAGATCACCGAGCAGGGTGATCCCATAGACTTTCTGTCCTGGTTCCTCAACACGCTGCATCGCGCCCTCAAGGGTAACAAGCAGCCCAATTCATCCATTTTGTACAAAATATTCCTGGGCGAGATGAACATCTATACGCGCAAGATTCCGCCCGTTGAGCTGGACGATGCGGCCAAGCAGCAGCTGCTCTCCACGGACGAGTACAAGGATCAGGTGGAGCACACCAATTTCATATATCTCACCTGCGATCTGCCGCCGCCGCCGCTGTTTACGGACGAGTTCCGTGAGAACATAATACCGCAGGTGAATCTCTATCAGCTGCTGGCCAAATTCAATGGCACCGCCGAGAAGGAGTACAAAACGTACAAGGATAACTTCATGAAGCGCTTCGAGATCATACGCCTGCCGCAGTTCATCATTCTGTACATCAAACGCTTCACGAAGAACACATTCTTTCTCGAGAAGAATCCCACGATTGTCAACTTTCCCATCAAGTGAGTGGTGCAGCAGTCAGTGGTGCATTCAATTCAGTTATTCACACAATTCATTTGCTTTGTAATCCTGCAGAAATGTGGACTTTGGCGACATTCTGGGCATGAGGCAGCGCGACAAGGATCTCAAGGAAACGAAATATAATCTGGTGGCCAACATTGTGCACGATGGCGATCCAAAGAAGGGCACCTATCGTGTCCACATTCTGCACAAGGCCAACGGCCAGTGGTACGAGATGCAGGATCTGCATGTCACCGAAATCCTGCCACAGATGATCACGCTGACCGAGTCCTACATACAGATCTATGAGCGCTGCGCCGAATCCTAGTCTTAATTGTATATACATATATAAATCTATATATAAATATATACATGTAGCTCAATGCAGAGATTTTTATTATTTACATACATATGTACATATATGTATATGTAAATGTGTGTGTCGTGTCAGCTGTGCATCTGCATCTCCCACCCGCCTGCGCCAACTGTCCGGCGCATGCGTCATGGCCCAGTTGCCAGACCTCCAGCCAGCCACTCGATTCATCAGATTTGCCTTTGCACATGTCAAAAATCGATGTGTGGTGCATTTGTTGATTAGTCATAAGCCCACAGCCCGCAGCTAGCAGCCAGCAGCCAGTCATGTCCGAGCAGGTCAGCTACGAGGAGGAGTGCCAGCGAGCAGAGCTGCTGGGTCTGCAGCCGCCGGACAAAGCTGAATTTGAGCGCAAACGCAGCGCACGGCTCGAACAGCAGCTGGCCGAGCAGGAGGCTGCCGAGGCAGTCGTAAGTATTGACACCAATTAGCTTTGGCCTGCGGCTTATGCTCCACTCTGGCCCTTTGCAGATGCTCGAGCAGCAGGGCGAGTCGCTGCGCGGCGCCGGCGGCAAGTTGGACGAGCTGAACAGCATCCTGTCCAGCACGCAGCAGCGTCTGAATCGCTTCAAGCAAACGGCCTGCGGCAGTCTGACAAACATATTTACGCGTGGCGGTAGTCTGAGTGGTGCCAGCGGCTCTAGTGCTTCCATGGACATGCCCGGCTACAGCATGGATCAGTCAGCCGAGCAGCCGCAGCAGCCGCCCGTGCAAAGGCAGCCCCAGCCCATGGCCCCGCCCACAGCGGCGGAGGTGGCCGCAGCCAAGGCGGCCAAGCGCGCCGCAATGGACAGCCAGCTGGACAAGCTGGACTCACTGATCAACAAGGCGGACAATGCGGAGCTGGCCATGAGCGAGCAGACGAAGCAGATGCGACGCATCGCCAAGTGAGAGACGCGTTTTGGGATCGGGTAACTTAAAAGAAAAGCATTCGGTTTTATTTCATATATAAATATGTGTGCATATATACATACATATATGCTATATATATCTGAACACATTAGTTGCCCTAAATCACAAAAACAATTAAACATAAAGTCGAGATTTTCAATCACAAATGTGCAAAGTTTGTCTTCGCCCTTGATGCATATATACACATACAACTATATGGTTTATATATAATAATGTTAATAATAATAATGTTTGTGTATACATATAGAAATATACATACTTATTTATGTCTTATACCTAATACTTCTTGCTACATTTGAATCGATTTAAATTAACTAAATAAAATTGCATAATCCAAAAGCTAGTTATGAAATTAATTGATAAGAGAAAGGAAGGAACTAAGGCAAACATAACAACACTCGATTTTAAGCTCCAGCTGGAAGATCTGGCTATTACTCTATTCACTCGGATCGGGCGGCGTTAGTGGCGGCGATGGCTGACGCTGCTGCTGCTTCAGCCAGCGCTTGGCCAGATTCTGCTCGTAGACCATAATGGGCGTCGATTTGCTGAGCAATGGGGAGGTCAGTTCGCTATCCGAATCCGAGCGCTCGTCATCGCTCTCATCGTCCGTCTCATACAAGCTGGCGTCCAGACCCGCATCAGTCTCATAGTCTTCCAGTTCAGTGTCCTGTGGCGGCTGGTTGGGCTTCGCACGCTGCTGAAAGCAGGAGGCAAAGGAGGTAGAAGAAGATTGATAATTGTAATAATAATAATAAAACAGTAAAACAAGATTCTCTCTTACAGGCTGCTCTTTGGGGCGCTGCTGGTTAAGCAGCTCCTGTGCCTCGGTCTCGTAGAAGAAGTAGCTGAGCAGCAGCTTCTCCTCCTCCGAATTGTAGCGCCAGGCATGCGGAATCAGTGCCGAATTGTAATCGAAGCGAGCCTGCAGCTCAAGGAACATGTGCGGCGAGATGTGCATCTTGGGCACCTCGATCTGTTGCTGCCACTGCGCAAGCACTGGCGCATCCGGCGGGCAGCTGCCGAAGACGCGAAAGTAGAGCTTGCAGGCGCGATAGTGCTGCAGTTGCTCCGTCTCGCTGACTGTGCGCCGCAGCACGGTTAGCTGCGGCTCCAGCACCTGGATGAGCATGTGGTGCTGCTGGCGATCCGGCATGTTGGCCACCAGCACCGCCCGACTGTTGGTCGGGGAGAAGAGTGGTGGCAGTAGCGTCGGCCACAAGGTGCTCAGCAGGCGCAGCATCAGTTGCGTCACGGTCGAGTGCTTGAAGAGCTGGCGAGGCTGAAGCTTTGGTGCTGTGGCATCTATGGGTTGTGGCAGCCAGCGCAGTGCATCGGCCCAGAGTTTGGCAGCGGCGCCGGCTTGTGTGCTCAGGCCCAGCATCCACATGCAGCGCTTGCAGTACAGATGATCCGCACGATTCATGATGCGATCCTGCAGCACACTCATATTGAGCACAATGTAATTGAGGCCATAGTAGATGTCTTTGGGGCCGGGCACCAATGTGGCGGTCGGCTTATCTGCGCCGCCATGATTGTGGCAAAAGAACTCGCTGGGATCGATCAGACCACTGGGGCATTCGCGTAAGCGATTGTAGCTGCAGCCGGGTACCAGTTCGCTCCGGCAATTGTTGCAATGCAGCGCCACTAGTTGCTCCGAGTGCTCCTCAAAGCCAAGCAGCAACGGCTGTGGTTTCATCGGGACGGCGATGCTCTTCTCCAGTGCCTCCACATCCAGTGTGGTGTAGTTGAAGCGAAAGCTAATGTGACAGCCGTTCGCAATGAAAACTGAAATGCGTTGTATGTCCATGCCGAAGGTATCGTGGCGCAGCACCAGTTGACTTCCACCGTTCTCAACAATGTGCACGTCGTGCTCCTTGATGATGAGGCGCGTTTTCTTTCGACCGCGAATCTCTTGATCGAACTGCAGGAAGACATGGCCGCTGCTTAAATTTGGGCGCAACTCAATGCAAACGGCCTTTAGCGGCATTTTTTGTATTTATTTTTTGTAGCAGTGTCCCTTGTCGGTTGATAATTTCAATATAGTTAATACAATTAAAAAACCGAATGTGAAATGTTTTGTTTGACGCTGAAGTGCTACTGAAACTTATCGATATTATTGTTTCTATCAAGCGATACATTTATGCTGTCCCGATACTGAGTCAACAGCTGCTGAGTTTAAATTTTTGTAAATTATTTAAAAAGCTTCTTAAAAGTTGTTTAAAAATTTGTAGTACCGTGCTATTAAATTATGACATGATAAATATATCGCATTGCTCTAATATTTAAAACAAATTGCACTGTAAATGGAACTCTGCGCCATCCAGAGTCACATAACGACTAAATTCCCAAACGAAAAAATTATTTTGTAACCAGATATGCGTTTAATATATGTACATACATACATACATACATAATTATATAATTTTGTATAGCTTTATTTAGTTATGTTTTCTAATATTGACAGTTAGCTCACACCAACAGGTCATAATATAAGCATCGTGCTCTACGACCTTTAGAGAATACACTTGTACATACATTTACCAAGAAAGTTATCAAGTCAATTACAAGCTCCCAAAAATCTAACGGCAACATTCTATGAAGTTTCCATGATAAAACTGATTCAAACCCAATGACAACGTGGGCAATATGAGGTCAAGGCTTGCAACAAGCGCATGGATGGCTTAAATTAAAAAGTCAGTATGTAAAAACCCACGACGTCGAGCAAATGTACAGAATTCCTGTTCCATAGAGAAATATAATGATAAAGAGTAATTTTCAAATGTGGCGGTCATAATCTAATATATCAGTTAGCTTGTGCATGTCTGCTAGCGCCCCCATATGATTGGGGGAGTCCTTATGTCGTGTATTTTTTACAAACGCAACACATTGCTTTTTATTCACTTACACATATACATAGAGCTGTAAACATAGGAAAGAAATTATTTTATAGTTGACAATCTGTATTAAAAATCTATCATAGGAGGCGCCGGGCGCCCTCCATCGTTATTATTTGAAGTTGACCACTAACCAGAGAACACATAGACCGGACACGTAGTGTAAAGTGTTTTGCACAC